TCAACAAGAGCCGTTACAAATTCAACCAAGCTAGTTGTTAACTTTCACACGGGAACGAAGTTGCTACTCCGAGTGAAATTGACAATTATTTGTTCAGAACACAATGTTATACAATATGCAATTTGATAGATGAAAACCTTGACTTTCTATTGGTTATAAGTAATATATAATGAAACGTAAGAGAGAATGTGACAAGTGGGTGTGGTAGGAGGGGTCTGATTTTCTCTTTGACCAAACAATATTGAAGGCTATAAAAATTATGGCTGTTTAAGCAATAATGATTTTATAGAGAGCATTTTACGTTTAATTTTGTACATTTTCGAGGGGTGATGGATAAAATAGGGATGATGACATGCTAAAACAAAATTTGTCATGTATGTTACACTAGTGGAAATTCAGGATTTTTTTATATATTTCCTTTTAGAATTAAGAACTTAAAACTTGTATAATATTAAAATATGGATTATTAGCTAAGATTTTATGCTATTCTAATTGGTATAACTTAAACAAAAAGTAGTTTAATAAAATTTTGAATGTAATACACTAAAACCTTGTGTCATGCACAGTAAATGGTACCCGTGGAGAAAGGGTTAATTGAAAAAGCAAACTTCCTTATACTTGAATAATACATCTGTAAATATAAAAAAGGGTTTGATCTAAGTGTGAGGACTTACCCCATCTGCTTCACGAATAGTTCTGACAGAAACACCTTTGTAAAAGGATCTATTGTATGGTTGGTCATTGAAAAATTGTCCAAGGCCTCCATGAGCAACCTCATCATCCAAATCTAGAAAATTTTTATTTCAATAAATAAATAAATACACTAAGCATAATACAATCCATACTTTTATCCAATAATTGAAATAAAATGATCAAAAGAAGTCATTGTATTATTTTTTTAATAAATCTAACATTTCCTGAAGTATACTTGTTTGTGTTGAATTTTGCACAAAGTTACACGAGGGCTATCTGTACTAGCCACCTCTAATTAAGCAGTGTAAGACTAGAGGGAAGGTAGCTAGTCATCACCACCCACCGCCAACTCTTAGGCTACTTTTTAAACAATGAATAGTGGAATTGACCAATACATTATAACACCCCCCACAGCTGAAAAGGCGAACATGTTTGGTGGGATGGGGACTCGAACCTGCGACCCGCACATTGCAAGTCGAGTGCCCTAACCACCTGGGCTCACTTATTATGTCCTAACCAGGTTCTCCACTGGGAATACCGCATATATATATGCTTTCCACTCACTTGAATACCAAAGTTCCTTCCTTTTTGGTCTCCAGTTCCTCAGCAAAATTCATAACAAAGAAACAAACATAATAAGTGATCGGCCACAAGATTCATAACTTAGGGAACAAGACACGCACAAAAATAAAATGTAACTTGAAAGGAAAAATCTATGTCCAAACGTAAGACATGAACTCCCAACAAACTAAAATCTGTGCTTCCCCAGCAGACATCATCTACCCCGAGACCTGGGACTAGTGTCAGATCCATTGTCTACTTACGGAGGGAATTTCATCATCCACCGTGATAAATCTTGAATTCATATGAACAAAGTAGAATTTAAAAAACATAAACATTTCTAAAACAAACAAGTAGAAACAATGAAAATTAAACACAAGAAGTTGAAACTAATATAAATTTGTGATATTTGTCACATGGAGAACATTAGACACAAGAATGCCAATCAAGAAAGTGAGGATTGTGTTGTAATGGTAGAGGGAACTACCTGCACCAGTATAGATGGCACAGTATGACTGGTGGAGGGGTATAACAGACTAGTGCATTGTTAAAAATTTTAGCAATTCTTAGAGGGCAAATCAAGGTCAAAATAGATTTGGGTGAGATAAGGTGGTACTGTTTTGGAACTTGACAATTTTCAGATGAAGTATTTTTGATTTTAACAAGAAAATCACTTTGCACTCTACACTTTTGACTCCATACATTCATGAATAAAATTTTAGTAAAAATATTTCAATAAAAATTCTGATTTTTTGTCTACGAAGGACTTGTAATGCTTTTCTGAAAGCTTGCAAAATTTCATTAAGATATACAAAAGTTACTTAAATTAAAATGAAACAATGTTAGTACCATGTTAAAATATTAGCAATTGATATGTTCAAAGGAAAACGAAGTTTCACAATAAAAAGTATAACGATACTTGAGATAGACAACATTGTTTATTAATAGCACAAGGAGACACAGATAAATGTGTCGTAATTCTACAAATTCCATCTTTGGTATCTAAAGCAAAATAAAGGAATTACATCACTAATAAGAAAGTAACTAAAATACATTGTTATAATAACTTACTAAGTTCATTACTTAAGAATGATGCACTTCTTTTATTTTGCTTTAGAAACTGAAGATGGAATCTGTTGAACTCCAACACATTTATCTGTGTCTCCTTGTGCTATAAATAAACAATGTTGTTTATCTTAAATATCATTATACTTTTTATCATGTTGGAATAATGCAACATTTGAATGAGTTACTAACCTACCAAATAGCTGTTTTCTTTTCTAATACTTGTATGTATATACATGTAAGGGGTATGTAAAAATTGATTAATCTAATGTAATCTATTAATGAACTCACTGTTTAATTGATTAGACAATATCACAAACTGACCAGCTCTAGTCCAATCGTTGAACATGTCCCACAATGGTCTTTTAAATGATTTACTTATTTTGCATGTATTAAATTAAGGAACCCTTCCTATTTTAGTTTTACACATTTGGATAAGTCTGTCCTTGGTATTTAAACTGCTCTTATCACAAGTGATTATTTTATGATTCACTGTTTTATAATACTACTTTTTATACCTACCCTTATCACACATAGATTCTTGTTTTACAACTTCAGGATCTACATCCCACCATTCCTGGATCTAAAAAAAATAATGCCAGAAATTGTAAAAACATTTGAATTTATCTAAAAATATCACAAAATAAAAAACACATATGGATGAGGATATAACAGTAAGTATGATCTTCATATTACAAATAAACACTTAAAAAGTATTATTTTCAAAAATGGCATACCCTATCTGATACAGTTCTGTTCTGATTAATTGCTTTATTTTTATGTGCCATATGTTCATTTTGTAACCAAAAAAGTTTAACGTTCAAATGCAACTTGTCATATTTTTAGTGCATGTACTCAATATATTTACAAAAGCCTTTCCCGAGCCCTTTAACCATGCATTGTTACCTGTTTTTTAAAGACAAAAATTTTGTATATTAGACCAATGGTAATGAATAAAGCAATTAACACCTATGACTGAAACTAAATTATTCATACCTTTTATAAACAAATATATATATATAAATGGATTTCAAGAAAGATCCTTTTTAAGATACAGTTTTGAAATCACTGTTTTATAACTTTTTAGCAGAAATTGCTTTTATTGCTATTAATGATGACTGTACACCACAGATGCTTAAACCACCTCTGAAATTTTGTTTCCCATTTCAACGTATTCTCAAACCAATAACTTGTTTTCACAAGTCTTGTATGAATGCAATAATTTTTTGTCATGCTTTTGTTTATCGTTCGTGTGTTATTCTTTTTATCATTTAGTTTACCTATGAATTTTTAGTTATATTAAAATGCAAACTCACCTTCAAGCCGATCACTATTGAGTAAATATGTACATATTATAAAACTGACACCAGCTTCCCTAGCAGCAAGGTAAAGATATTAATGTTGCAAGATATTATGTAAATTTATGATCATGAGACGTACTCTCATGAATTTGGAATACCATGTTATTGTTTTTTTTAAATTAGGTTTTTTCTTCTTCAAGTTCCTTTTCCTGATTCTATTATTTGAAATAATTATTATTGATATCTATGTTTTATTGTTCATTAGCATTAGTATCAAGTCCTGGCCAGGCAAGTATTTTTTAACTGTGATTTTGTTAAATGATAAATATTATTCCAACTGTTGTTACAATTTAATAATTTTTTTTTGTTGTTGTTGAACCCTGATTGTAGTTCCAGGTTATTTTAGACAGTTACATGCTATATAGTATTTGTGGTTGATCTTCTCTTCAGAGATGAAACTAGGTAAAACTTGAGTAATTGAGTCTTGTGCCTTTCTATATATGGATATACATTTGCAAACAGTGGGTATGTAATTGGTGAGAGAATAAGTTTCCTAAAGTTCTTCAAAGGTGATTTATTTATCCTCCCCATCACAAATAATTTTTACCATCCATGAAATGTGCAACTATCTCAATTTACCTGTCCAAGGGTAAAAGAAAAAACAAAATTTAATCAACTAAATACAACTTTCCTGACCTGTTTGTTGTTGTAAAGTCACGCCCTCATTAACTTCAACAATGTATTTAAACCTACAGATCCAATGCCCACTGATGCCCCTCCAAACATAACATCTAAACAATGCTTTACAAACAAGTATCACCAAATATCTTAATAAAAATAACATACAATTATTGCTTGATTCATACCCAAATATTTCTCTGCAAATTATGTTTCTAAAGTTCCCTTATATTTTTGCAGTCAGTGCTAAATTGACCAACTAAATCAACAACTAAAACTCCTCCTATTATCAATTTTCATGAAACTTAGCTTAGATGAATCAAGTACTTATAATGAATACAGTCCATTGATAACTGTCTGTAAACATACTGAAGTAAATATCCATTATTATCTAATAACCTAAAGTATCAAAACCTTTTTCAATCAAACCCATCAGCTAGATATACTTTCTCTTAAAGCAGAATAGAAAAAGTACTCTTGAGACCTGAGGAATCTGAGCTCTGTTCTTTTTTTCTGGCTTCTTTAACATTCTGTCTCTAGGATTTTCATCACCACCTGGAACACCTACATAGAAGAAAATGCATTTTGAACAGTGTAAGAAATAAATTAAAAGTTATGTTTCTTCCTTTTTACATGTACATCCCCTTCTCTATTATTAGTCTTAAATTTTTCAACTATAATGCCTAAAATTTGTTGCTAGACCAGTAGCCGAGGCCCTGATTTTTCATGATACCTTTACTTATGATATAAAAAAAATGAAATTAATATGATACTAAAGCCTGATGTCTCCTAGATAGTGTGCTTTTTTAACCATTTCTACAGTAGTTCACATTTTCCTAAATTGAAAATGTATCTCTAATAATACCTCCTCTCACACTTATAGCTATTACTCGACCGCCATGATTTCTTTCTTTGCCCATCTAAGCATTGGTCTGATTTTTTCTCGCTAGTTCCAATCTTTTATACCCCACTTAATTGCCCTTGACTATATTTATCTCGTGATACTCTCTATGTACATCAATGCACCCTCTATCCTGGTACTGTATATAAGCACCTCATTCAGATAATGTTATCACTTTTGCAAGACTGACCCAATCCCAGTCTCTAACACTAGCTCTTAGTGAGGAGGAAGGGCAGGAGGGTGTGTATTAGGTAAGTATTGTTGGAAATACATTTTCAATTTAGGAAAATATTAACTTCCAAACTATACATACCTTCACTCCAATTTATAGCTAGAATCCCACATTGATAAGGTGGAGGGGTCAGTGAGGGCATTATCTATACAGAAAGTGACTGCATAGATCATGGGTGTGTCAATAAATGAATGGCACCCTAGGGGGGTAACTTCACTACATCCAGAACAGGTATGCTCTTCACCCAGAACTGAATTCCTGTGTCATGGGTGGAATGGTACATGAGTTATCATCACTATAGGCCAGCCCCAACCAGATTGCCAAGGTTCAACTACTCAGGGTTGAAATTATAGGGCCATGGTTCCTATATTCCAGGTTTTTGGCTAGGGCAATATATACACTTATGAGTGGATCCCAACTTATAGCCATAAATTGACGAGTTCCGAGCCACTAGAATCATGACGAGAAGGTAAGCAACAACAAAGTGGACAAACCTTCTCCTAAACCTGATGAAGTCTGAAATGCAACACCCAAGGCTCAGAATGACTGGGTCTTGTATGCCTTACTCAAACTGAGGAAACAGAACTCATTTGGTCTGGAATTATGAACACTCGTCCTCACTCCCCAACCATATGGCAAGGTAAATTCCACTTGCCCTCAGAATTATGAGGAGGATGTGGAACAAACTGTGCTCAACCAAGGATGGGACCACACTGTGTTTGGAGTTACAAGGAGACAATGAACCCTTTTTCATGAACAATGTACTCAACCAATATTGATCAAAAAGAAGGGCCATGCTCAACCCCACCATATAGCCAAGCATCAAATCTGAACTGGTATTGGAAGTAGGCTCCCACATATGTTGGTGCCTCTCCTACCGACATCTGAGAAAAAAAAACATAACGGGATCTGGGTAAGAGGGCCTCCAACTTTGCCCTCTTCTCCAAGAGTGGAAAAAAATTCACTCTTAACACTCTGGAGGAAAAGCCTCTATCCACCACCCCAGTAACTGGAAACAGGTGTGATAAGGACTCCCTAGCTCCACTAGTAGAATCTGGGGGGTAACGCACATTGGGGAGCCCTGAGGGACAGCGCATTGGGTGAACTAAATTCCCTAAACTTTTAATAGCAAACTGACCCCAATTTATTCAATCCAATGACTGGCAAGAATGGGCAGGATCCCCTTATGCTTCACTCATGACAGTCCAGAATAGTACAGTAATACCACATAGTCAGCTTAGATAAAGTATACTGAATTAGTGGTTGCTAGTGTGGAATTGGTTTGATAAAAGCACACCTGCCTGGGCAACACTTGCCACAGAGTGGGATCCTGTGAAAATTAGGTAAGGGACCCTGAAAGGTAGTAATGAAAATACTCACCCCTCTGTATAATCTAGAGGTGACTGGGAAGCCAACAGACTAAAATAAGACACAGGTAAAAGCAAATCTAAGTTCACTCCAGAATGTCGAGGAATGCCCTCAAATCCACAAAACCAAATATATGCCTCCATCTCACTATGAATAAGATCACTGACACTGACAGTCTCAACCGAGAGTACCCCCCCCCCGGATTGTTATGCAATGCTAAATATCAAAGGAGTGACCTGATTTGCCTCTGTGCAAGAAATATTAATCTGGGAATCCATACCATAAATTGACCTGTCAATAGGAAAAGCTCAAAGAATCTCCAAACGATCGTAGCACTGGGAAACTTGTTAGTGATGCTTAATCTAGAAAAAAGTGATAGCATTATCTGAATGAGGTGCTTAAATACAGCACCAGGAAAGAGGGGGCATTGACATAGGTGGAGAGTGTCACGAGATAAATATCGCCAATGGCAATTAAGTGGGGTATAAAAGAATGGAGTAAGCAAGAAAAAATCAGACCAATGCTTAGATGGGCAAAGGACGAAACTCTGGTAGTCAAGTAATAGCTACAGCATAAGAGGAGGTATGTATGTTTTGGAAGTTTAGTTTTTAACTATTTAAATGCATTATATAAAGAAAAAAAAATATATATATATATATATATATATATTAATTTATAGTTACATGAAATATCTCTTTTTTTTTTTTAATACATATGTCTAATATTGAATATTCAAATATTATGCATATCAAAATTAAATATTTATTTCTCAATACAATAACTATGCATAATGAAGAAACCTACCAGTTTCTGGTGGAGACAAATGTTCTAACATTCCAAAGTTATGGAAAATTTTTTGAAAATGTTTAAACATTTCCAAAGGTTCTCTAAGCGTTTCATCAAAATTAAATAACTCAGTTTTGCTGCCAGAATGTCTTTCAATGTCAACTCTTTCTTCATTGCTGTTGTCATCAGACATCCATATATTTGGTGTCTTCCTGAAGAAATCATCTAAAAAGTCTTTTTGACTGAAAAGAAAAAAAACATTCATAATTCATAACAAAATTTTTCACCATACTTTGCAAAGCATTAGCTTCCTAGTTTATAATGGCTACATTTAATACAAGCTATCAATAAATTAAAAACATGTTTTGAACCTTTTCACAATCAATGTGTAATTACTTATAAATACCATAGTGCCAAGTGTATTATTAATTCACATTGACTTGTTGGAAACTATTATACATATACCTGTTTTAGAGAAAGCTACATCACATTAGTATACATGGAATTTTGAGTAAAATAAAGGTAATTATTTCTAATAATCCCTACTATCTTCAATATATATGTGTAATTTGTGTAAAAAATAAAAATAATCAAAGAAAGCTGTATATAATTTTTTTGTTCTTTTAGTCTGCATGTAGATACAAGTCATCATACAGTAAGCTATGAATCTCACTACCTATACATTCCTTTAGTTGAGCATGTATACATTAAACATCAAAAACTACATTTTTATCTGTTCTTTCAGTAACCTGTATGATACTATTACCAACCATCACAGAGATAGCTCTAGTCTTCATTATGTTCTTTTAATCAGCTATAGGAAATGTCTACATATTTGGCATTCAAATGGAATTTAATAAGTATTTACCTCTAGATGGCACTTAACTAGTTTAGCTAATCTTAGTTCTTCTTTACCTTTCCTCTTCCACCATCTTATTAATTCTATCATTCACAACCTACTTTATGATTCACAAGACTTTGCAAACAGAGTAGGGTCTCTCCTACATTTAACAGTTGCAGAAGAGAAAATAGAGCAGATATGTGTTAATCTAGATGTAAGTACTCATTCAAATTCCATTTTTATAAACCTTGTAATTTAAACAATAAAATACTTATAGATGAACATTTCTACTGATACAATACATTTTAACACTGCTGCACTTATTGGGAATAGATACAATGTTTTACATTGTAGTTTATTGTCTCTGATAAATGGCTATCATATAAATTTTTGCATTTTCCTGAATCATCATAAATTTGTTGAAATTTGTATCACTGTAGTATTTTTTTTCTTTCATCTAATTACAAAGACCTAAAGAGAATAGCCAAGAGGTCTATCATGTATGCTAAATACAAAACTTCCACATAAGCTATCATTCAGCCAAAAACAAGAATATCAATATGAACATCTATAAAGTTAGCTGATATATGTTAGACTCTTCTCCAAACCAGAAACTTTTGAATCACTCTTCTGCACCCCCAAGAAGAGTAGAAAGTATTCATAAATAAGCTGAACCTTCATAGAAAGATACAGAGGCAACACCTTATTGATGCTATTAACAGTTTTAAGCCTTCTGAAATCATACTACTTACCCTCCTCTGAACATTTTCCAGAAGTCAGTATCTTTTCTAACATAAGGAGACCATAACTTTAAACACTATTCAAAGTAAAGCCTAACTCGTGAATTGTATAATTACCTCTTTTTGCCATGAATGTCAATAAAAACACCCTAAAGTTCCTGTTGTAAGGAGAGGAAATCCACTGTATATTTTAAATAAAAGTCTAAAGACACAGCTTTCTGAGTGCATAATTTATTTTTTTTAAGTTTTATAAAAAAGTTTTGACCACTTATGTGGTCACTTACTGTATGAAATATTAAAAAAGTTCATGCATTAATATTTCATACAAAAGACGACAGTTTACCTGCTGATGACCACAAGTGGTCCAAATGTTGTTATAAAGTTCATAAAATAAAATAAGCCACTCATAAAGCTGTGTCTCTGGGCTCTTATCCTAAAATTCTACTAGCTTTACTAATAGTAACAAAGCACTAAGTCAAAATCCATTTCTTAAGTCATAATGTTGGATTGGTTCCAATCTATATTAAGTGTGTGATCCAAATTATATAACTCATATACATCACCTTGTGTTTACCCAAACCAATATTTACCAATATTCTGTATGTGTCTATCTGCATATAGTTGGCAAAATGCTGGTCTGATTGTCACCAAATATGACAAGTACTCTTATGGACCTCTGGGGAGTATTATATGGAGGTTGGCATTCAGGTCTGAACCCCTAAGCAACCTCCTGACGGCTCTTATGTCAATTTCATTCATTTAGCAGGTATGTCAGCTAGTTATAATAACATATAAATTTGCAAGTTGAGTAATAGATGACAATCCTAAGGGTTGTACTGAACCCCTTAAAAACAGGAGTAATATAAGTAACAATCCATAATACTCAGGCACTTGCACACTCTCTACTGATCTACTAGAAATGATAAAGGCTTGGTATCTAATATTAACTCCTTAAAAACCACATTTGGGCCTGATGCTTTATCTACTTTTAATCTTTCTGTCCAATACTCAGGGTCCATAATATTACTAGTAAATTCTCTTATAAAAACAGAAAAGCATTTTATAGGCTCAGTCATCTCATCTTTTCAAGATGAAAACTTCTGTTATATTGATGAGAAACATTTGTAGCATCTAGATTTCATTTGTTGTCAAGATATAATTACTAAATTAGATGAATTTCACAAACTTAACCTTATTTAAGTGTGACAAGTGTCCTTCCTCTTTTTAAGCTTTTAAACTGTATTTTTTTGTTTTAGTTGTTGTTAAGCACAAAGCTACACAATGGGCTATCTGTGCTCTGCCCACCACATGTATTGAAAGCATTGTAAGCCTGCAGACTTACTACTGGGCTTTTTTTTAAACAACTTTTTCAAAAAAGCATGTCAAAGTTCCATTGTTTCATTACATAAAAGTTAGTGTTATTTTTTGTATACCTAATCTAGTCTTATGTACGTCAGTAGCAAAAAAATCTCAGACAAGCCTTATACAAAAGTACATTCTTTTCTGCATCACATTCTAATTATGTTTATATTCTAAACAATCCACCTTGACAACAATTTCTGCATGCATTCAGATCAACATTTGGGTATTAAAATGACATTTCTATGCAGATTAAAAAAGTAGATTTACATGAATCAAATTATCAATGTTACAATTCATATAGTGGCTGTTTGGGAAAAATTTGAAATACATTTTGCTTTTACATAAATTTCCATAAGAAAATCTATATGCTTGCTAAATTTCAGATATTAAGATAACATTTCTATGTGAATTTCAAGCATATATTATAGTTGAATAACAGTAGTTTTCGATGTCTGCCATATCACAGAGTCAGTAGATTGTATATGAAAGAATAGCCAAGGTACTCAATAGGCATAATATAAAAATGCATGCTAAAAAACCAACAACGTCAGAGACACTTACTTTAAAAGATGATTGCCACTCACTTTCATTTGTTTCTCTACCCAACAAGGCAAAAATCATTGCTAAGATACCAAACCAGTAAGTGACCAACCTACCAAATTTTTCATATTTCTTCTTCTTTCATCAGCCAAGATAACTCTAGAACTACTTTATCACTAACGTTAGCTTAAAACCAAATCCACTCTATGTGTTTCTGGACAGTGTACAATGTCATCGCTTAGTCATAACTAATAATAAAAACAAATAATAATTCTACTGTAAACAATGTTATCATTAACCCTAGAAGTTAGCTTGTTCACAAAAATCTGGTGTTTCTTTAAAAAGCTTAGATACAGGGTGAAACAGGAATTACCAGCCAATAATAAATAAATATTAGATGACTGTAACATGTAGAATACCCAATGCTTAGAACATTATACAATTGGTGTCTTTAGGGAGCCAACCCCTATATTATGTATGAAGTGTAAAAGTAAAAAAAATCAATATACATATTAAATTTTATTACACACATTCATAGAATACACTAACTTTCTATCAGAAGAAAAAACATAACAAAACCAGTAATTAAAAGTATTTTGCAAATGTAAAATGATGTAGGGATGGCAGTGCCAAAACAAATACAAACAAGAATATAAAGATAATACACCTATACATGAATCATTTCTAGTCTACTTGACTTTCAATATTAAAATTCAATCCTCTGAGCCCTGACACAGTGTGATCAAGATCAACCTGTTGCTACCTACTGGTAATACTAGCAGCAGGTTATCAAAGAGATGACACAGTATTGCAGTTATCCCATGAGACAGCATGGTCAGGGTCAACCTACTGCCAGTATCATACCCAGAGAAGTGTCAATGTCATAATCACCAACACAACAATATTGTGTCATGAGTCAGGTAATATGTAATAGGCCTATTACCAGCAAGTTACTTCAGTTTCGGAAGAGACATCATACTGACAAACTGTGGATTTACTTGATTGAAAGATATCAGATCATAAGGTAAGAAACAGTCAAGCTAATTTTGTAAAAAAGCACTAAGCTTTACAAAACGATGTTTTTTGTTAGGATTATGTTTGGAAGCATATTTTAAACCTCAAACTATTCGGTGCATTTTTCTTAGAGGGCCTGTTTGCACTGATCAATCATTGAAATTCAAATTTTTCAGTTTCAAAATATCTTAGTCTTGAATATTGCACTTTATGTAACCTCAAATTACTATATTCATAGAAGGTGAAATTACCCTATAGGGTTAAGAACCTAAAAGAACAAACCAAAATTTACTATTAGTATTATGGAGTATATATATAGCTGTAAGTCTGCAGTATGGCTTAAACTAACTTCACAAATATTAAACCCATCAATTCTGATTATGGGAACTTGCCTATTCTCTTGACTGTAATGGCAAAACTTTACAGGCAGATCCACTGTCCCTTAATTTTGCCCCACCCTGGAAAAATTTCTGCAGATGCCCATAACTACTACCAGTACTTGTACTACAACTAGTTTTCCCAAAAGGGGGCCTAAGGCCACCTAGAGGGGTCACATGTTTTAACTACTCACACCAATATGCAGTAGTGTTGTTTGATAGTAAGTCAGTAGACACTAAAATGGCATCATATAAAGGACCCTTAACATTGCAATTTGTACTATGGTGATATCAGTAAAACATGTACATGCCATGAATAACAAGAATTATACACTCTGTACACTACACAGTGGCATAGTAAAGGTTCTCAGCATCTGGGGGCAAAGACACTTTTGGTGCCCCCACTTCTGAAATGTTTTGATTATTTGTTTTGTAACTCATTACCCACTTAATGACAATAACATAAAGAATTAATTACCATCTTACACAGGCATAAAATAAAGTCACAATATAACATCTTATGATATCACAACTGTAAACCTAGAACTAATGAAATATAGTCTACTATGTGTACTTACAAAATTTATAAATCATTTTGACATTCATGTCATCCAGTATTGTTCAAAGTCACATAGCTAGAGTAATCTTTGAAGCATGCAGAATAAATTTCTGTTATATCCATAGTTTTGAAACTTATGTTTTATATGAGAAGCCAGTCACTTGTGGTGTACATGGATAAAAACAGATTGATAAAATACTACTTAAGTTTACAAATAACAAATTTTATTAGTTTACAAAACTGTAAATATACTCAACTAGATCTTGTTCAGGTAGCATTCTGGTATTCATGGTTACATTATATGAACCTTTCGTGCTTTTGCTGCTGCAAATGCATCAATTAAACTATCAAAATTTAAGGTATTAAGTACATCTTTTTGAATACTTAATATTGTCAAGTTACTAAGTCGTTCTTGAGTCATTGAGGTTCTCAGGTATGTAAGAATTAATTTCAGCTTGCTGAAGGACCTTTCACAACTAGCAATAGAAACCCCAATTGTTAACAAAATCTGCAATGCAATTCTTAAATTTGAGAAAACATCTTCACCATATGAAATTATAAATGTTAGCAAATCAGTTGCAACATTGGTTCAGGAAAAAACGTGCTGTATTCTTTTACATATCAACATTCTACAATCT